AGAAGTCTGTATTCTTTTAAATTATATAATATATTGTTTTCTTTACAATCGATACGATACACTTTATTTACACACGACATTATTTAGGCGTGCATTGACTAAAACGAATTATTAAAATATGTCTCCTTAAATTAACCCCAAATATACAAAATTTACTCCTTTAAATACAATATTTATTTCATTTAATTTTATGTAAAATATAACAATTATAACATACTCAAGCCAGGATCCTTCGTCTGTTCATTTATTTAATACCCTCTACATTTTATATGATAAGTATATTTATTTAAACGCGAGGTCCTGAAGGTCTATCTTGCGATTGTCGTAGTCTTTGTAATCTACGCTTAAAATATTACGTAATACATCAACGTATCTCTAAAAAATAGAAAGATCTTGTCTGGTTTATCTCTGTGATTTATATAGGAAACAGTAAAACATCGTAAACGAAACGTTAAAAGTCCAAAATAAATTTTATTGTAACCGCTTACTATCAACACAAATTTACTATAATTCCCATAGTAACAGCCGATATAAGTAGAGCTATTTAGTATAATGCGTACGTGAAATTTAAGTTTACGTAAACTTAAATTTCACAATAAATTGAATTTCGTGTTAGTAATGGTATATTAATATTAAATTGACAACTAACAACATGTTCCAAAATTGAATAGATAATGGCGTGAAAAACAATTAAAATTCGAATCGTTTCGAAAAAACGGCCTTCACAAAATCCAATATTTTCTTAAATAATTATCATGGAAATTATAAAACGTGTATTTGTTGTTTACTCTGTTCGTTTTAGTAGCGTGGGTTTATGTTTCCTTACGTTTTATTGCTGAAAATTGTGATTTATTTTTGGTACAGGCATGGATGCATTAGGGAGATAAAATTATTTTGATTTCGGAGTCCATCCATTATATTAATACTACTGAAAAAGTCCGTTTAATAAAGAAATAATAGATTTTTTTGGGAAATTGGTGGGTCCTAAAACAAGCTTCTATTAATACAATTTTCAAGCCGCACAAGAAGATTCAGCAATTCCTAAGACCAATCAAAAGTTTGCAAGATGCAAGATGCAGGTGTATACAAACTGGATTGCGACTGTGGCCTGTCTTACATAGGGCAAACTAAACGCAATATGTCCAGCAGACTCAAAGAACACATTGCGGACATAAGACATAGACGACACACAAAATCAACAGTCTGTGAACACACACTAGATACGCCTAATCATTATATACGCTTTGACCAACCAAAAGTACTTGCGAAAGAAAACAAATTCTTCCCAAGATCCATTGAAATCAAAAAACACCCCAATTTCAATAGAGAAGACGGCTTAAAATTGTCAAACACCTGGGATCCAATAATATCCAAATTATAATCTCAAGATAAACAATCCGCTAAAATAGAGGACACCGTGAGTAATTTCTGCCAAAACCCTCCATCTTTTAGTCGATATCAACTCCGGGGAAATAAATACAGATAATACAACTTTTTCTACAGCTGTGATACTTTCTGACATTCAGCACCTTTTGTTTTCAGTCACCGTGACCACGCACGCTGTAAAGCACGCGAAACGTCGGAAAAAATTCAAAATTATGTAAAATAATTTTAAGTTTAAATTACATAACAGTTATAATCCGTTCAAAAAGTGTTTTATTAAATAAAATATTATACATATTAGACGAGGAAGATCATAAGAGAAAATATTGAAAATGCTTACAAGCTGACACATAAAATAATTTTACTTACTTTCACATAAGAGTACTTTTGAACTGCTATAGTTATATTTGTCGAAGCATTCAAAACGTTGAATTATATAAGTAACGTTATAAATTTGCGTATATAAGCAATAAAGAAAAACATACATTTTCGTGAACCTACGACCTACGTATACCAAAGACAATAATATTATAGATAACTTACGTCTCTCAATACAAAGCGCCCAGCCTCAGACAGCTTTGAATAAAGAGCGCCAATTAGGAGCCTTCGCAGAGATGAATTTCCCTAAGCTGATTTTGTTTATAGCAAATATAATCTTTTCACGAAAATAATAATAGCTTTTATTCAACTGTCTACCTAACCGTAGTAAAAACCGTAAGAAAAAGTAAGATCGTTTCTTGGGTATGTAATTAAATGTGGTCGAAGGTTACAAAATAAGAAAAAAAATTCGTAATAGAAAAATTTACCCATTGTTTATTAATTTATTTATACATTCTAAATCAATGTATATGCCTAAAAAATAAAAGAAAATATGACATCACAAATTTAACACAAATACACAATCAATTACAATACAAAAAAAATAAACAAACAAAACATAAAATACAAAACAAAAGAATAATAATAATAAATAATAACTAAAACGATAAAAAATATCAGAAAAAGTAATAAACAAAACTAAATGAAAACTTAAACCACATTAAGAGACTAGTAGACTGTTGTAAAACACATCAATATTTTATCAATGTTTGTAATTAGTTCTTTATGATTCCAATGCAACGAAGAAACTGTAAAACTTTACTAACACGCAGATATAATTACACTTATTTTGGATAACTCTGCTTTAGATTCCTTCATTTCCTACACACAAATAAATAAAAAGTATTGCAATTATAATATTAATTGTTTTATAACTAATCTATAATGTATAAACATATTATGTTATTTTATTTATTTAATTAAAGACGTAGCGTCTTTAAGTATATTATATAAGTTAACAACGTTGACTAGTAGTAGAGTAGTTTTAGCCTAGTGGCTTAAGCTGGCGATTCTGACTCTGAAACCGTGTTCGAATCATAGTTGTGCATCATCAAGATTTTTGAATTTATGTGCGCAATTAACGCTTGATCCCACGGCGAAAGCAAACATCGTGACGAAGCCGACATTACTTTGTGTCAGACTCAGAAGGCCGATCACCTAATTGTCTTTTTATTTTTCATGTATCCTTTATTAGTTTAGTTTGTTTTTAGTTTTATGTTCCTATTTAGTTTTTACCTTAATAACTACATGTAATATGTATTTTTGCACTTCTTGCCTACCTTATTGAAAACACTTTTTTTTTTCTTTTTCTCACAATGGATGCCTGGAAGAGATCGGTCGAAAGCGATAAGGCCGCCAGTTGCCCTCCTTTACATTTAATTATGTTTAATTTTTATATTAATGCAACGAAGTGTAAATAAATAAATAAAACCATCTCTTGACTTACTGAAATATTACATAAGCAATAAGTAATATAAGTAAAAATATGTAAACCAATAAGTGTCTCAAGAATGCAATGTATTCCACTTGGCTGCGTTGCACCAACGTAGGTGGTACAAATTCAAGCGTTGCCGGAAACGCAAGCTTCAGATTAGTTCAAGTGGAAATTTCAATTCCGATTTTACCTTCTATTTATATTATGTTAAAGAAATAAAAAAACCATTCGCTTAAATTTTTTGTAATGTAACGAAATTCGTAATTAAGTATACCTTAAATAAAAATAAACAATTATCAAATTATTTTCATTACAAGACCTGGGAGCTGTGATAATATTGACTTGAATGAAATCTGAATAAATCTAATAAAAGCAGTAACTCGCAAGGAATCCATTGTAATTGCAGACAATGGCGTTACGCGTAATCTGCTATGCATTATAGAATATTGTATATACGATTTAAACAAACTTGTGTGCCCTGAGCGTTAGGTTAGCATCCAAGTTAAGGCAATTAATATATGAAATATGATAAAACAATTTATGTAATTATTAGAAAAAGTTTCAAGGAACTGAAATGAGATACAGACAACTTCTGTCGACGCCACAATTATCCACAATAGCAGGGGAGCCCACGATAGTTAACTCACAAGAGACGAGCGTCATAGAGACCTATTGGGTTGCGAAGCTTAGATAAAGGCATTTTTTACATTTTAAAAAATGTAAAAGCTGTACCATGGATATACTCGAGCGCGTCAGATATTGAAAGCATCAATGTTCTACGTATTTTTAATAATGTACGTATGTTAATCTGATTGTTGGCATGGTACAACCACCCGTACGTAAGGGTTGAAAATGAAAAAAAAAATTTAATCGAGCGCGTCAGATTTACTAAGAGTGAACCTAAAAAAGCTCTCTAATCTGACGATTTGGATGTGACTCAAACTGGCGGTCATTAAAAGAATGTGCAAAAATATTCGTCATTTTGAAATACTCAAGCGCGTCAGATTAAGTTATATATGGTTTATCTTTATGTCCTAGACGTGATGTCTCATAATCTGACGATTCTCTTTTTCTAATGTTTATAAAGTAAATTTTATTGATTTTTGTAAAGTAGTTTCACCACAAAATACACACTTTATGTTAATATTACTCATAGTTAATATTTTTAAACGAATATAGGCATCACGCAGCCGCACGTATTAAATCGTTTATCGACGAATTTTTCTCACTTCAGCTTGTGAAAATCGTCGGAATATATTATATTTTTCGACATCCTGGAATTATTTACTTCAAACTAAAAAAAATATTCACTCTCGAGAATGTCGAGATGACGTTTTTTTTACAACTTTGCCGCCCTCCCCTTTCTTAACGTTACTTGCAAATTGTCAGATTAGTGAAATATACACTTCTTAGCATGTAATTAACTCACCCTACCTTAATCTGACGCCCTCGAGAAAGTCTTGTTTATTTTTTTTTACTAATCTGATCCTTTATCCATGACGGGCGGCCATATACGTATATATGGGGCTCATATTTGGTAGAGATACTTAACCGGAAACAACGTATCTCCCTGTATATTAATCTGCCACGCTGTAGTAAATCCCGGAATCCCCGCTTGGGCTTCCCTACTATAACAAGACGTGTTAGTAAGTAATAATTGTGTTGCATACATTACAGAACTACACATGAACTTAATTGGTCTTTGGATAAGTGCACCTGTAGAAGATTTAACTTTTGGCTTAGTACCTCAATCTATAAAATCTGATAGAAAAAGGATATGTACCTAGCACTGTACGTCCAATACTCACGCTTCAGATATTAGAGCACGAAGTTTGCAAAACACGACGCCCAAACTGTAGGGATACTGATGCCAGTACACGGAGAGATCATTTGGCAGACCTGTCAACAAAATATCGAATATTTATTTATATGAAAACGGGCACATCGTCAGAATTTTCTTTTATATTCGGAACGAAACGGAATGCGAGGAGAATTTCCTCTAAAGAGGAACCTGAATATGAGTATTTTTTTCGGCTTTTATTTCTGCGAATTTCGTTTCAACATCAACATTTTCCGAAAATAGACTGACCACTGCGAAACCTGATGTTGCGGGTCACTTAACGTTAAGTGACGCCTGTACCTTTGCCTCCTGCTCCACAAAACATCTAATTTAATATGACGTATCTCGTAAGTATAACTTATAAGGCGAGACACTAAAATTATATTCAACAACCATATTGATATTATAGTTGAAAAAGCCTATAAGTAGCATCCATTTGTAACACATGTCTGAACACTTTTAAGATGTCAAATTTAACAAAGTCCTATATTATACATATACGTATGATCAGAGTATTATAGAACAGTGTTGCTTAGTTTGGTCGCCTAATTACACAGTACATAAAAGATTATGAACAAGTTAACATAAAATTTATCCCCTTTAAAATCTATATAAATTTCAGATGTATGACTATTTCAAAACAATAGAACCTTCTAGTGCCTGCCTACCAGACGTAGTTGTGTTTTGTTATACGCTTCTCATATCAACATTAACTATGCAAAAACCTCAGTGTTGATGTGAGGAGTATCTCAGCCCATATATACTAGCGCATCATCGCATACATTTAGCCTATCGCAGCTTACAAAGCAGCTAAAAAGAGTATTGAAAATAAGATTAACACCTCCCCATTAGGTTTGTTTTCTCAATCAAATATTTGTTATTCATTTTGATTGTTTATTCCTAAATTTATTAAAGAAGCGTACAAATGTTTTAATTTTATTATACTCTTATTGTAACATTACAATAACATTACCACTCTAAGCGATAATATTCTTTAAGGTACGATATATTTTTAAAATGTATCTTGGAATGGCGTAATTTCATAAGTAGGTAGTTTTAAAGGCAAGATATACATTGTACTAATGATTACAATTAAAATAAAATAAAATATCACATGGGTGCATGAGGATGTAATTTAAAATGGCGAAGATTGCTTCAAACAATAACTTTAACATTTCAGAGTATGTTCATATGAAACACCATCTCTGTTCCTAATCATAGGCTCTAAGTGATTGCATGGTAACTCAAAGACTACAACAAAGCTTGGCGGAAGCTGAGTGTATTATTGTTTAAAAGCACAATTACGTAAATAAAAATAAATGCTTTATACGTTCCTTTACTTGGAATTAAAAATCTTGAATACTGAAAAATTCCCAAGTTCCTTTATGTTTCTTATATTAATCTCTAAGGAGCTACTCAAAACGCCAGAAGCATGTTGAAAAGTAATTTTCCTCTCATTCATATTAATAAGAAATATTTTTCATTTCTGTGCATGTCTTATTTCATAATTGTATATTAAATTACTTTCATACAAAGCCTACCTTGATTCCAAGTCACAACCAGATTTCTGATGAATTCGAATGGGAGTGTAAATTTTACTAGCTAACACTGATTTTTTCCTGGTGTCAGACCTCACGAGAATGCTCGCTAGAGAAAATTTGCGCTGGTGAGGTAATCGCTGAAGCTGAATCCTATTTTGATGATACAAAGCGTACTATAAAAATGGTATCAAAGTATTGTATGACCGCTATTATCGTTGTATCGCTCTCGAAGGCAACAATATTGAATAATAAAATTCTATTACAGAAAAGATTTATATATATAGCCTACGAAGTTTTCCTTCATCTCATATTTTCCGCGGTTACCCTTGTAAATTCGGGGGTAACTTCGTATTTAAATTAAAATTCATCTCGAACAAGTAGTTCCGGCGATTTGTGCTATCAACTAATCAAAATAAACATACTCTCTAATAATATAAATATGCTATGGGCCAATACTTAAGTAATTGTTACAAGCCCGTAATTTTATGTTTATTCTAAAAAAGTTGATTTTGACGACATTATATTTTTTACGAATAGGTTTAGAAATAACCTCCAATAATTAAAATACTAAAAGTACAAATTATTTATCATAAAAATCTGATTGGTTTAGACCGCAGCGCAGTTGCAAACGGTATGTGAACGAATTTATTTAGCGGTGGGTATTAGCAAACAATTCCTGGTTGCAAATAATCTTTTTTTAAAAGTTCAAAGTGAAAGCTTTCAAACGTAATGCTATTTGGTAACTATTGGTATTTGTGACTAAACGCCGTACTCTCCTATATTATGTCAGAAAGTGGTTTAGCTTATACCAAGATAAACCTATGAAGAAGCACAGTTTAGTTTAGGAATGGAGACGGAATGAAATGAAAAGGAAGAAGAAGAAGAAAATTACTCAGTAGTAATTTAAAATATAGAAATCCCGTTTTAAAGATTAGGTATTAATTGTGGTATCAATTGAACTTAACTTGAAGTCGAGGTCAGAATGCAATAAAAACATTGAAAATACATTACCCGTGTGAACGAAGAAAAGGACATTAAAATAAATGAAGCAAATATGTTTTACAAATATAACGTTCTTTTCAATCCACAAAAAATTCTAGGTTTTTATTCTGTAGATGCAATTCTATTTGAGAGAATATGTTTGTTTTTAATGTTAGTCGACATTTGACGGCTGTAAATGTAAATATAAAATGGCGCGAATCGCACGACAAGCTAATTTTTGCAATTACAAAGTGAAACCAGATTAACAAAAAAATATGATATAATAGGTAATTCACAAATAAGGAAAATACTACTTGATATGCACATTTTGCTCCTCTAAGTAAGTTTTCAAATCACTATGTACGACCCGAGAACCAAACAACTAGACAAGAACTTGATTTGTGGATTTTGACGTTTAAATTGAATAAATAATTTCCAGTATAGAATCGGTCTTTTATCATATTGTAATTTTCTGTAACAGTCATAATAAATAATAATGGTGTAAGTAGCGGAGTTTATGGTAGTGTATCATCATTTACAGTTACTCGCTCAGCGGGTGGTTCGTTTTCATTTAACTAAACTAAACACGCAAGTATCTCAGTGGTTTAAGGACCTAGGTCTTTTTTCACCTTAAAGGAGAAAATAGCATTACAGTTGTATTTTATCTATCTCTATAAATAATACAAATTCATGTTTTTCACGTATATTATCAGAATAATAGTGTGTACGCTTGAACACATGCACTGTGTAGAGTAATTTTGAATTTGTACTAATTGTGATTTAATTAAGAAATATAACATACAGATTCATGCGCTGGCTTCATCTGTGTTAAGGAAGCCAGTTCTTCCTTTTCTAGATCTAATGGAACATCAGTAGAGACTGATACAAAAGCATCAATAGCAACTTAATAAATCATGTATGTGTAGAACTTTATCATCGCTCTTAAACATTTTCAAGATAAATATAAACTATTGCTTATTTAGCCCATTTCTAGTTCAGCCAGTTGATTGAAATATGATGACGTTAACGATACCAGAATTTGTAAACCATTTTTTATTTCACATGACGTCAATACGAAAACTAACAATATTCATAAGAATTTGTATTTGTTTATTTCTTATTCCTACAGCTAACAAACATTATATACAATCAAAAAAATATACTGAACGTATAGCCAAAGATGGAATACATAATATTATGTATATACAAAAAGGTTCAAATATTTACGTAAGGAAAAAAAATATTAAATACGTAAAACCTAATTCGGCTATGATGTGCGAGGGTGTTTACGAGGGGTATGCTCATGATCCAGGTGATTTAGAGCTATGGATATTCTTAATACTCCTTTTAAGCATATTCCGCAACCTTAAACAAGTCGAGACTTAAAATAGTGGTCGTTATATGTAAAGCATTGATACATTCTAAATATTGATTAAAAGCTCCCGGGCGTGAGCTTAGTAAGTCCCAATTAGAATTTAGAGGTTGTCTATTCTATATATATGTAATACTCACAAACCAGTTGAAAATTTCTAAAGCTTATCTTTATGCTCCCAAATGGTGCATTAAACCACAACTTTTATCTCAAAGTACACTCGTCTTGATTGATTTTTATGTTGACATCTTTTGATAAAGTTTCGTGAAGATCGGACCTATACTTTTAATGTACGATATGAAAACGTCTCGCGGAAATTCCCTTAAACAAATGATGACCATGATTTATGAACTTAGACACGCATATAAAAAGGTAGTTTATGCAAAATGTACATTTTAAAAACCTATCCACATAAAGAGGATTACGACTCACCAAATAGCAATAATAGAAGATCGCTCAATGCCAAGCTAAACAGGTAATAATTGGTGTCTGTATGCATCGCTGGGTGTCGCACTATCACCACGCACACTGCCACGTTTCCTATGACGCCAGACACAAATATCACCAACAAAAATACTGTGATCGGTACTATTCTCGACAAAGGAAGTCGCCTCGGCCCCATCACGCACCATAGCATTTCTTCCTCACTACAGTCGAACAGGCTGAAGTTCGTACATCGCATATAAAAGTCATCCACGGATTCGTTCGCGCGTAGAAACTCCATTGTGGCTACTTAACACATTTAATTTCCTAATCTGCACTAGTATATGATGTATACTAATACTACATGTATACTAATACCACAGATTAATTGAATTTAGGCTGTTTATAGCGCTTATACATATTTCGTAAAAGTCCATTGCACGTAAAGTTAGTGAAACGCGAATGTCAGCTTTCGATACGTAAGCTCGGCGCCGGTAGCACTTTGATACTGAGCTTCGGAGTTCGGAGGAAGGGCTGCGTTGTGTATGGCTGCTAAAATCATCTGTAAGATAGATTCATCCTATAACCGAATACCATTAACTCGGACGGACAACTTAATAGGAGTTTCATTGTTAGTAATTTCAAAGACATACATTATAAAATATACTTGTAGGGCAAAGTAAGCGTGTTGGTCTGATTCTTAAATTCCTTAAGAAAGTATTTTTGTTTGTAAAGTAACCGAGACTAAAAAACTAATTTATGTACTAAAGACTGTAGTTGGAAGTCAGTGATTTAATTTTTGGTCGAATGCCAGGTCGTTTACGTAGGATGCCTAGTAGTTAGCAAGTGCTGAGACTCGTTGCCTCCTATTGAAAAGGCTTCAGCGGTTAGAACATTTTAGGATCCTTTGACAACAACAATGTTATAGATATATCATATTTAATAAAAACATCATAGTTTAAAAGTTATAGTAACTTTTAATTAAATTAAGTATGAACTAAACTGAATTCACATATTGAAAAATTACAGAACAAAGCAGCTTCGATTATGTGTTAAAACGACCAAGGGAAACCATTATACGGTATAAGCTGCTTATCATGCATATGTTTCATCTATACTAAGTATATATATATATATATATTTGGAATTATTGTTTGGGGAAATTCAGCCGAAGTAAATAAGGTATTTAAGGCTTAAAAAAATTATTAGAACAATTTGTGTTCAAAAAAACATAAATATTTTTAAGTCAACGAGAATGGACAACTGTCGAAGTCTGAGAAATTGCCAACGCCAAAAATTATCTGGAATTATATAGGAAAAACACCTTTTTTGATTGAAGATATTTCTTCTAGACTTTGCAAAAATCGACTTAATGTACTACTGTGTACTGTTATGTTTTGGAAAAAAATATTCTATTAATGATTATTCTCGTATAATTAATAATAATTTGATAACGTAATAATATATTATGTAATTAAAATTCTACCTTTTAAGCCAAATTTGCACGCCATTGTGGCAGAATATGCGAACAGATTGTACCACCATGACATTTTTATGTAGCATATTCTAGCATATAAATTATTATTACTATAAAAAATATTACAAAAACGCAATAAATTTAAAATACATCTTAATATATATATAACAAAGTCAGGTGTGTTTGAACACTTAGATATAACTCGATAGCGGCTAGACCGATTTTGATGGTTTTTGTATTTGTCTCCATCCGATATCAGGAATAGTAGGAAAATTTACGAAAAAAAATAAATAAAAGATAAAAAAAAACAATACAAAATGTTCATGGGTTTCGCAACTGTCATGTGAGGCAATACGAAGTTCGTCAGGTCAGCTAGTGATGTGTGAATAGGTACCTACACCAACATCAAAGCACGAATTACACGAACATCATGAGACACATCGTGATAATAATGTGTGTACAGCTTGCTAGCCAGTGGACTGTAGAATGTGTTTTTGTAATTTATATGTCAATGTCAGGAGTATATGTAATGTATGTATGAACAAGCTGCACTAGATAACTAAATATATGAGAGGGTGACATTTAAGACCCTAACAACCATAACACATAAATAGTGAATATATATGTGTGGGACGTCTGCACCAAGAGACCTAAGGTAACAGATTGAGCCCTACTGGTAGGATCAAAGGTTCGAGGTGGTGGGATTATCTCAAAGCTACCGGGCAGGCTCACCACAATAATTAAGGGCTTGAAGTAGTCTTCGCCACTTTAAGAGGAAGCGAGAAATAAATAAGACAGAACAATATTCAAATCTGATTTTTGGAACGAAGTTCCTTACGGCAGGCTTGGAGGAGATAGGGATTTTGCTGCTCGACCGAACCGAAAAAAATGTGATAGTAAAACCGTAAGAAAAAGTCCGTGGAATAAAACCGTTTAATGAGACGTGCGCAGACGCGACAGGCGTATACACAAGCGAGTAGTGTATAATACCTTTCTCTTTCTCCCTCTTTCTTTATTATTTTGTAATTATTTCTATTTCTATGTAATTTTATGTTGTCAAACAAAAATAAAGAGACATATTTTGCTATTTTAGTTGATAATTTGAATTAGGATTTTTTTTTTATTTTACGTAATTTATTATTTCCTAAAATACTGAATTTCCTAAATACTTTCCTGTACTTAAATAAAAACTAATCAGCAAAATTTAAGAGAAAAATCAAGAAAACCTACGTAAAATTGAGCACGATTTTTTACAAATTGTGTCGATTCTACATTAGCCGAAGGAACAATAAAAGATGTGCACATATTTTTTTGTTAAAAAACAGTATCTTAAATACTACTTAGTGTACTTACATATACCTGATATTATTCTAGTTGGTCAATGTTCAAATTAAATCTGAACATTCATAGACAACAACTCAGTTGGTAATTTAGCTACAATTTCCCTCCATTTACCAAGACGTAAAATGAAATGGTTTATTTATTTATTTATTAAGGAAACTAAACAGATACATCTCTACACAGTAAAAGAAAGCTTAATAGAATATCATGAGATTCCAAAAATAAGTGACGAAGGGAGCGCTGTTACTGTAAAGTAAGAATATCTGCGGTTTGAAATATCTATGGTATTATACAATAGTCTAATCCTAAAATTTATTGATTACTAGGTATAGGTAAGTTACTTTGGTATAAGCCAGTAAGTTAAAAGTCAGTAAATGAAAAGGTTCACTTACTGACTGATAGAATAAAGGATCTCTTCGAGACGCCCATCTTTACTGATAGTTATGTAATGAAGACATATAATATGTATACATATAGAACAAGTTCTTCTTTTGGCGCGTTAGAGAAAAATGATGAGAGTAAATTTATTTTTGAAAAGATTTTTATCTTGTTACGCCAAAGAAGAATAACTTCTAAAGCGTGTACATTACTACACACACTTTTTTTTAAAATGAATTATAATGATGAAAATGCCAAAAAACTATAATTAACTTTTACATTGTATCCTGTCGATAACATTATCAAAATTAATTATTACTTAGCAATTAGCATAAAAAGTACTTCAACCAGACTAGTTATATAACTCTTGTAAGTCTTGGCTCCTTATCCTGGAGATAACTTTATATGAATTGGACCAGCATAATCAACGCCGGTTGCAGTTCCTCTGCTTTAGAATACTTTGAACAGTTTAACATTTACGACAATACTTCTTGACCTGATCTCGAACATTATGAATGAAGAAAGTTTAACATGATTTGAGGACCACCATGCAAAACCCTTTCATGTACGTCAGAAACTAATAAATTAGTTAGTTGTGACTTAGATGGTATAATAATTGATTTTGCATCAGAGCTTTCTTTATCCACCTTCCCTTAAAATCCCATTATTGTCGGAAATGGGACACAATGTATTATACGATCTTCATAGGCACTTTCTTTCCCATTTGAAATGCAAATTGTTGCACTGGATTTAAGCAAACTTCTACTGTTTTATTGATTTATGTGACTGTACTAAATAAAGGTATATTAATATATATTAATGATTGGTAATATCCATAAAGATCGCCTTTAGGTATTTTCATAACTTGAAATATTCCGTAACTTAATTTTGATGCTAGTACAGCGCCGCAAAGTCGAGGAATACAAACTTTCTTTTCAAATGGAGCTACCTTTGTTTTAGCTGATACTAATCGAATATAATTATATTTTATCATCTGAATTAATAACACTAATATACACTGCGGCTGAGTAAGCTGAACCTGATGCATCTGAAAAAGCGCATGTAGCCTAACCATCTGGGAATTTGTAATCGCTTAATATGAATGAGAACATTTCGTAAATTAACAATTCTCAAAATTCATTTGACAAAGGATCGTCCCAATCAAGACCTACTGAATCAAAAGCTTTGCTAATACCGTTGAAATCCATCCCAGAGGGTCATACAAACGGGTAATATTGAACAAAACTTGTATTTTTGATACAGGATATGTAGTGTTGCCAAAATCGGTTTGGTCTTGCAGTCTTGGTCTTGTTCTTGCGTTTCCGCAAGACCAAGACCAAGACCAAGACCGCCTTATTATAGCAAGACCAATACCAAGACTGAACCCTGCAAGACTTGAGCAAGACAATACTTAAGCCTGCAAGAATCTTGCGTCTTGCAGTTAAGACAAACTGAGATTTGGGCGTTATTAAATCAAATGTACCTACTGTATTTGGTTTCAATCCCGATTTTGAGAAACGTTCCCCAGTATCAAAACCGTAGGTATCACATATCCTAACACTAAACTAAGGGTTGAGTTGGCAAGTGCCGCTCGTCTGAAAGCACCATGAAACGTATTGTATTGATTAGGTAGGTAGGTACTTATTATATTTCAACAATTTATTAAGTAGGTGTTAATACTCACAAATCTTTCCCACCATCCCATGTGATAAAATTTACCTAGAATAACTTTATAGCAAAGTTATACCTTGTAGGTATCTACCTATAATAATATGTTATGTTGTTTATGTTAATGTGCAGATCAATGTTAATGTAGGTTGGTATGTGCTTAAAATTATAGCTAACAAAATTATATAAACATCATGTAGGTTAAATTAAAACTAACAGCGAGTCGAGTAGGTCTAGTAACATTTCTAAGCACCCAATATTATGGTACAGACGCCAGCACATAAGCTACTAATAAAAATAATCTATCAAATTTCTTCAACAGATTTTCAAGTTTATCCTAAGGAATTAAGGTTCAAGTTGATTGGGGAAATGTGACGTTCTGCGAATAACTGTTGGTGTCGGTTATATATACCTACTTATTTGATAATTTACCGACA